TCCACCGAAGGCCCCATGGCTGCCGTCCGCATGCGTCCCGCACACCCATTTCGGCACACCCCTCACACGTTTCGTGGCCCCACAGGGAGCTCCACCGAAGGCCCCAGTGCTGCCGTCCGCATGCGTCCCGCACACCCATTTCGGCACACCCCTCACACGTTTCGTGGCCCCATAGGGAGCTCCACCGAAGGCCCCATGGCTGCCGTCCGCATGCGTCCCGCACACCCATTTCGGCACACCCCTCACACGTTTCGTGGCCCCACAGGGAGCTCCACCGAAGGCCCCAGTGCTGCCGTCCGCATGCGTCCCGCACACCAGGTGTGTGGCGTGCCGACATGGGCGTCGCGGCGCGCGGGCGCTGCCGTCGGGGTTCCCAGGGAAGCCCCCTGCAGAGGCGACGCTCAGAGTCACGAGTACCGAGAGTCACGCAGACCCAAACTGTTCACAGTCGTATACATACATTTACACTGGGCGTATCCATGCACGCATTCATGCGAATAGAATCAATCGCGCGCAGATTCATTCATAATCAGACTCGCTCGCGATCCGACTCGCACGCGCTCAAGCTTTCATATTCGGACCTATCGTCTTCGTTCGTGTTGTGTACACTGCCACGCATTTCGGCACACCCCTCATACGGCTCGTGGCCCCATAGGGAGCGCCACCGAAGAAGATATTCACAATTGCGGTACTCTCAACTGCATATGGTTGGGTCCTTCGCCAGGCTAATTTCCCAACCAACCTGTGTTATTGGGTCCTCGTTTTGAAGAGACGGTCCCCGCGTTCCTCCTCTTCCTCCTCTCCTCTCCTCCTCCCCCTCCTCCCTCCTCCTCCCTCGTCCCCCTCTTCCCTGCGTTTCACCCACCCAGCACAGCGTTTTGTAGCCCCCATAGGGAGCTCCACCGAAGGCCCCAGTGCCACCGTCCACATGCGTCCCCCCCACTCAGTACAGCGCTTCGTGGCCCCATAGGGAGCTCCACGGCCCCAGTGCCACCGTCCACATGCGTCCCCCCCCACTCGGTACAGCGCTTCGTGGCCCCATAGGGAGCTCCACCGAAGGCCCCAGTGCCACCACCGTCTACATGCGTCCCCCCCACTCAGTGCAGCGCTTCGTGGCCCCATAGGGAGCTCCCCAGTGCCACCGTCCACATGCGCCCCCCCACTCAGTACAGCGCTTCGTGGCCTCATAGGGAGCTCCACCGAAGGCCCCAGTGCCACCGTCCACATGCGTCCCCCCCCACTCAGTACAGCGCTTCGTGGCCCCATAGGGAGCTCCACCGAAGGCCCAGTGCCACCGTCCACATGCGTCCCCCCCACTCAGTACAGCGCTTCGTGGCCCCATAGGGAGCTCCACCGAAGGCCCCAGTGCCACCGTCCACATGCGTCCCCCCCACTCAGTACAGCGTTTCGTGGCCCCATAGGGAGCTCCACCGAAGGCCCCAGTGCCACCGTCCACATGCGTCCCCCCACTCAGTACAGCGTTTCGTGGCCCCATAGGGAGCTCCACCGAAGGCCCCAGTGCCACCGTCCACATGCGTCCCCACCCCACTCAGTACAGCGCTTCGTGGCCCCATAGGAGCTCCACCGAAGGCCCCAGTGCCACCGTCCACATGCGCCCCCCCCCCACTCAGTTCAGCGTTTCGTGGCCCCATAGGGAGCTCCACCGCGCCCCAGTGCCACCGTCCACATGCGTCCCCCCCACTCAGTGCAGCGCTTCGTGGCCCCATGGGAGCTCCACCGAAGGCCCCAGTGCCACCGTCCACATGCGTCCCCCCCACTCAGTACAGCGTTTCGTGGCCCCATAGGGAGCTCCACCGAAGGCCCCAGTGCCACCGTCCACATGCGTCCCCCCCACTCAGTACAGCGCTTCGTGGCCCCATGGGGAGCCCCACCGAAGGCCACAGAGCTACCGTTCACATGCGTCCCTTTCACTCAGTACAGCGTTTCGTGGCCACATAGGGAGCTCCACCGAAGCCCCCAGTGGGACCGTCCGAGTGCGTCCTGAAACACCCAATTTGGCATTTTCACCCACCCATTACATCGTTTCGTGGCCCCACAGGGAGCTCCACCGAAGGCCCAAGTGCCACCGTCCGCATGCGTCCCGCACACCCAATGTTGCATTTTCACCCCCCCAGTGCAGCGTTTCGTGGCCCCACAGGAGCTCCACCGAAGGCCTCAGTGGGACCGTCCGCAAGCGTCCCGAAACACCCTTTGTGGCATTTTCACCCACCCAGTCCAGAATTTCGTGGCCCCGTGGGGAACTCCACCGAAGGCCCCAGTGCCACCGTCCGTATGCGTCCCGAAAACCCAACGTTGCAATTATACCTACCCAATAGAGCGTTTCGTGGCCCCTCAGTGAGCTCCACCGAAGCCCCCAGTGGGACCGTCCGCATGCGTCCCGGAAGCCCAATTTGGCATTTTCACCCACCCAGTACAACTTTTCGTGGCCCCATAGGGAGTTCCACCGAAGCCTCCAGTGGGACCGTCCGCATGCGTCCCGGAAGCCCAATTTGGCATTTTCACTTACCCAGCACAACGTTTCGTGGCCCCACAGGGAGATCCACCGAAGCCCCCAGTGGGACCGTCCGCATGCGTCCCGGAAACCTTACTTGACACACCACTCACCCAGAACAGCGTTCCCCCTCACCCAGTGCAGCGCTTCGTGGCCCCATAGGGAGTTTCACCGAAGAAGATTTTTACAATTGCGGTACCCACAACTGCATATGGTTGGGTCCTTCGCCAGGATAATTTTGTCCTCCCTCCTCCCCCTCCTCCCTCCTCGCCATCGTCGTCGTCATCATCATCAGCAGCATCATCATAGGGAGGCCCATCCAAGGCCCCAATGGCGGTGTCCATGCGAGCTCCGCCACTGGGACCTTAGGTGGAGCTCCCTCTGGGGCCACGAAGCGTGTGAGGGGCGTGCCAAAATGGGGCAGAGATGCCATGCGAGTTCCACCACTGGGACCTTAGGTGGAGCTCCCTATGGTGCCACGGAACGTGTGAGGGGTGTGCCAAACTGGGGCGGGGATGCCATGCGAGCTCCGCCACTGGGACCTTAGGTGGAGCTCCCTATGGGGCCACGAAACGTGTGTGGGACGTGCCAAACTTGGGCGGGGATACCATGCGAGTTCCATGACTGGGACCTTAGGTGGAGCTCCCTATAGGGTCACGAAACGCGTGAGGGGTGTACCGACAGAGAGACATGCGGAGGGCGGAGGCAAGGAGGGGGAGGAGGGAGGAGGAGGAGAGGAGGAGGAACGCGGGGCACCGTCTCTTCAAAACGTGGACACAACACCACAGAATGGCTGGGAAATGCTCACACGTAGATTGGAGTAAAAAGGAACAGAGAAAAGAAAAAAGTCCCCGTACTATTTGTTGGATATGTTTGAACCTTCCTCCTGCAGAGGGACGTGCCCGACTGAAGGGTAGGAGATGGGGGGGCAGGCGGCATCCCGAGTATCCACGCGTGCCGAGATTGGCGCGTGCCGAGGTGGGAGCGGGCGGGACGCCCTGGCTCGCTCGAGCCGGCCAGCGTTACTCTGCCGCATGCCCTTGGCGTCTTGTCGGCGCTGCCGCCCAAACTGGGCCGTCGGGCCCCTGGTTCGCAGCAGCAGCAACGACAACTCCCGCCTGATACTTGCTCAAAACGTGTTCCAGAACCGCGCCCTCGCGCGGGACATCCTCACCATCTATACAAGGATCGCGCTCTCGCGCAGGACTTCTTCGCAATGGATTCAGGCGCCGCGCCCTCGACACTCAGGAATCACACTCTCGCTGTGGATTTCCTCACGATTCAGCTGAGAATCGCGCTATCGCTTGAGACTTCCTCGCGATTCATGCAGGACGCTCGCTTCAGCAGCCCGCCTGCTTGACCTGGCCGCCTGGGTCCGCCTTCCCGACCCGCGCACTAGGGTCCACCAGTCCGATCTGCCCGTCTGGTTCTGCCAGGTGTGTTCTGCTCCTAGCCCCCCTCCTGCTGTTGTCTCTCGTGCTCCATCATCATCCCTCCCCCCTGTCCCTTCCTTCCATCCATCCGTCCTCTCTTCCCCTGCCTTAGGGGCTCCACGAAATACACGTTGCAGGTAAGAAACATATACCCCCGATGGGTTCACAATCGAAGACGATGAGGGCGGAGATCGAGGGTTCGGGGCAGACATGTTGATCGACACGCGAGCAGATAAGAGCGAAGCGATTGTTGCTGTTGTCGTTGTCATTGCTGTCGGTGGTGTCGTTGGTGGTGGTGCTGCCGCGACCCACCCCGGGACGCACCCCGCGACCCACTGGCGACCCACCCGCGACCCACCCCGCACCCGCCCCCTCACTCTTACCCACAACTGCGGAGTGCTACGTATTATTCCTCCTCTCTCGTGCTCTGCGGTCTGCTCGGTCTCCTGGACTCGGCTCTTCTACTCGGCGGCGCGCACAGCGGGGGAAGGCTCCTTAGAAGCAGGAGTGCTTCTACGAAGCCTTCCCCCCTCCCCATACAGTCGAGGCGTTGACCTAAGGAACGATAAATAAGGAACGAGGCCCCTTTTTCCCCATAAGTTAAACTCCGATTTCCCAAGGAGCACTGTAAAACAACTCAGGAACGCGGAGCCCTCCCCAACGAAAAGGGTTCCTTCTTCAGGGCCCCGACTGTACCCCCTCTGCGCGTGGCCGATCTACCGCCACAATGATGAGAGACAGAGTAATGGGGGAGAAAGAAGGCCGCGGAGCAGGAGCAGCAGCAGAGAGACCCGCAGGAGGGACGGGAGGAGCTGAAGGAATCGGGGGGAGGGGAGGAGCAAGAGGAGACGGGGGAGGAGGAGGAGCAGCAGGATGAGAAGGGGGAAAAGGAGGAGCAGGATGAGAAGCGGGAAAAGGAGGAGGAGGAGGAGGAGGAGGAGGAGAGGAGGAGGAGGAGGAGGGCAGGAAGCAAGAAGATGGGCACCACCTGCATTGAAAAGAAGTGGGGCAGAGCCAGCCAAGAGTAGCAGAAGGTGGAGGGGCGAGGGGCCCGCCTATAAGAGCCAGCGTCGGCTCCGCGGTCGAGAAGCCCGCCCAGAGCTCGCGCAGCCGCCTCGGCACACGCTGACGGGCTGGACGTTTGCAGGAGCGGCCCTGCGAGGAGAAGTGGGAGGTGGAGGAGGAGGAGGAGGAGGAGGAGGAGGAGGAGGAGGAGGAGGAGGAGGAGGAGGAGGAGGAAGGAAGGAGGAGGAGGAGGAGGAGGAGGAGGAGGAGGAGGAGGAGGAGGAGGAGAAGAATCAGTGCAAACCCACGACTGATCAACAATGTTGGAATGCACCCTCCCTCCAAGCTCCCTCTTCATGGGCCCCTGCAAGGGGCCATTTTCACCGAAGGGATTGCCCCATTGGAGGACAACCGTGCGAAAATCCTGAAGCGCGCCAAAACACAATTCTCAGGACGTCAATGCCACGACTGTCAACCTTACTGGTGCGGCTTGATGATCCTGAATCGCGCCAGTACACCATTCCTGGGACCCCAGCACCGCGAATCAACGTAGCTGTTGCACACTGGCGACCCTGAATCGCTCCAAAGCACCACTTCTGGTACATTGCCGCTGAGAGCGAACGTCCCGCAAAGTCTTAGAACGAATGTGCTCGGCGCAGAGGCGAGAGCCGCATCTTGAAAACGAACCGCCCTCAACGACTGAACCTCGTGCAACAAAAGTAGCGAATCTGCGCGGCGCTCAGGCGAGAACCACGGCATTGTTTTACAAAAACCAGACAAACCGCAAACAACAACAAAAACGAGCCGCCCTCGATGAGTGAAACGCTTCCGAATCTTTTTTGAAACAAAAAACCAACGCGCGCGGCGCTAAGGCGAGAGGCACATGCTGAAAACCGCCCGCCCTCCATTGGGCGCCCGAGTTATCCGGGGTAACTCGGGTCCGGGGTAACTCGGGTTTGGATTCCCGAAAAAGGAACCCGAGTTAGCCCTGACCCGAGTTACCCCTGATGATTCGGGGCTCTGGACGCCCGAACTATCCGGGGTAAGTCGGGTCCGGGGTAAGTCGGGTTCGGATTCCCGAAAAACGAACCCGAGTTATCCCTGACCCGAGTTACCCCTGATGATTCGGGGCTCTGACTCCATATGTAAAACTGCTACCAGCTCCTAAGCTTCAGGACCCCAGATGGTAAGGAAGTCTCAGGCGGAACGCCCAGCCCGCCCTTCCGACTGGCCTTGGGGCGCGACGGGGAGGAGTTATTCAGAAGGGAAAAAATCGAGGAGGAGGAGGAGGAGGAGGAGGAGGAGGAGAAGGAGGAGGAGGAGGCGAAGGAGGAGGAGGAGGAGGACGAGAAGGAGGAGCCTCAGAGTCAAGTTATATTGGCGGCAGAGTGCCAACGATACTGTGAGCTGCGAGAGCTGCTTATTCGAAAGCCAGAGCCCCAGAGCCTCAGCCGTGAACGCAGAGGTCCCTACTTGTCCTCCTCCACTCTCTCCATCCAACCGCCCTGCCCAGCTTGACCCTCCCCACACCCGCCCACCTCTCCCGCCCTCCATCCTGCACATGTTCTCCCTCTCCTGCTGCTCCCTGCTCGTCAGCATCATCGTGTGCTTCATGCTCGTCGCCCTCAGCGTAACCATCGCCCCCATAATCGCCATCATAATCACAATCGCCGTCACCGCGATCGAGCGTGACAACAATAATCCTCGCCCGTGGCCGTGCAAAGCACGGATCGGCATTTCCTCCCTGTGGCACCAATACCGCTACTCCCCAGACCTCTCCTGGGCTGCGTTCTGACCAGAATTCCGATGCGAATCCAGACGTGGCGACGGGGACCTCCCAGGCCCAGGAAGACCAAAACGGCGAAAACGAGGCAAGGGTAGCGGTATCGCTACCTCTTCCTCCCCTGAACCATCATCAGCTGCAGCAGTAACAACCTTCCCCCTCCACAATTACACAATTTGAATACGACTCTACTCTCTACCCGAATGACGTCTGGAAAATGTTCCCCCCCCCCCTCCGCGTACTGTATTTTCACACACAGGATTCCCGGGAGGTGGGTTTTCGCTTGGGTTCTTTTCAAAATGCTGCTCTCGCTGAAACGCTGGCCCGATGTTCGGGCTCCCGCTGCAGCGCTGGCATCATTTCCGCGCTTCCGCTCGTTTCGAATCGTGCTCCCGCTACAGCGCTGGCCTCATTTCCGCGCTTCCGTTCGTTCTGAATCGTGCTCCCGCTGCAGCGCTGGCGTCATTATATCTTGTGCCGTGCCACGGCATGATGCAATGCAATGCTATGTGGTGTTCCACTGTGCGATGCCATGCCTTCAGCTGCAATGCTAGGATATGCAGTGTTTGACTACGCAGTGCCACGCCATGCTGTGCCATGGTACGCTTTGATTTTCAACGCCATGTTACGCCATGTTCTGTTATGCAACGCTGCGCGATGCCATTATTTGAGTTGCATTGCTTTGTGATGCAATTCTTCACTGCGCAGCGCCACGCCATGCTATGACATACTACACTCTGCCGTGCTCTTCTACGTCCTGCTGCGCCCTGCTCTACGATGCATCGCGCACCCCCTCGGGATCATTGCCCTGCTCGACATCCTACTGTGCGAATAGAGGGGGATCTACGCCATGGTAAGGGATGAGAGGGAGGGGCAGAACGTCAGATATGACGCGAGCGCACCTAGCTTGCCCCTCCACAAAAACACAATATGATTACTACTCTCCTCTCTCCCCTGGTGGCGTCCGAGAAATATTTGGCCCCCCTCCGCGCACTGTATGTTTACACAAAGGATTACAGGGGGGGTCGCTTGGTTTTTTGCCAAAGTGCTGGTCTCGCTGAAACGCTGGCCCCATTTTCGGGCTAATCGTGCTCCCGCTGCAGCGCTGGCTTCATTCCAGCGCTTCCGCTCGTTTCGAATCGTGCTCCCGCTGCAGCGCTGGCCTCATTTCCGCGCTTCCGCTCGTCCCGAGTCGTGCTCCCACTGCAACGCTGGCGTCATTATTTTCAGTGCCATGCCACAGCATGGTTTTCGGTCCTTCCAAATAGGCCCAAAAACAAAAAAAACAAAAAAAAAAAAAAAAAAAAAAAAAAAAAAAAAAAAAAAAAAAAAAAAAAAACGAAAAACGGACGTGATTTGTTGATTTTGTTGGGCCACTTTAGGGCGTCGCCACGTCATGCTATGTCATGAGGCCGAGGGATGAAAAGGGGAGAGAAGGGGAAGGACGAACAGCAGCAACAGCAGGCGGAGGAGGAGGAGGAAGAAGAAGAAGAAGGCAAAGAAGAATAGCAATACACAGAATACGAATAATACTAAGAACAGCAATGATAATGTGTAGTACTGGATGCGTCAGATAAAGAATTATGATAGTAAGCATACGAACGATAGTAATAACAATAAGAAGTAAGAAAAAAGAAGAAGAAGAAGAAGAGGGTATCGACGAGGAGGGGGATGAGGACAAGGGTGTGGGAGGAGCACGAGAAGGGAAAGGCCGGGAAGGGGGAGGAGGAAAGGGCGGAAGGGGAGGCGGAGGAGGCCGAGGAAGAGGAGCGGCAAGAGGGAAAAGGAAAAGGGACGGGGATGGGAGAGGCAAAAGGGGGAAGAACAGCCCGATGCGCCGCTGCCTCTGCGCGCTCGCGAGGAGGGCGCAGTAGCAGGAGGGGGAGGAGGCGACCGGCGAGGAGGAGGGGCAGAAGGAGGGGAAGGGTGACAGAGGAAGGGCATCGGGGGGGAGAGGGTGAAGAGGAGGAGGAGGAGGAGGAGGAGGAGGAGGGGCTGGAGAAGGAGGAAAAGGAGGGGCAGGAAGAGGGGAAGGAGGGGGAGGAGGAGGACCAGCGCAAACACAAGACGCATCAACGATGTTGCAATCAACCCGCCCTCCAAAATTCCTCTACAGGAAGACCTGCAAGAATTTACTGCTATTGCGGGCAGTACCCCGTTGGAGGAGAGCCGCGTGGGAACCGTCAATCACAGAACTGCTGCGCCCTAGCAATTCGAACTCATGCCATAACACGCTTCCTGAGGCTTCAACCATGCGAATCGCGGCAAGCTCTCAGGACAACTGTGCGCGGCGCTGGAGCGAGAACCACTCTGAGAAATGAAACCGCCATCCGCCCTTGAAACTGGTGCACATGTTTAGCCCGTTTTTGAAAGGGAACCACCCTCCATCCTTGAAACTGCTGCAAGCATATAATACGAATGCGCAAAGCGCCAAAGCGAGAACCCACACACTGAAAACGGCCCGCCTTCCATCCGTGACACTGCTGCACACGTTTAACACCATGTGCGCGGCGATAAAGCGAGAACCCAAATTTAAAAACGGCCCGCCATCCATCTGTGAAACTGCTGCCAACATTGAAAACGGCCGCTCCCCATCTGTGAAACTGCTGCGAGCTTGTAAGATGAATGTGCGCGGCGCTGAGGTGAGATGCACAGCTTGAAAACGCCCCGCCCTCCATTCGTGAAGCTGCTGCAAACTGTCAAGATGGATGTGCGCGGCGCCAGAGCGAGAGCCACACTTTGAAACCGCTCCGCCCTCCGCCCGTGAAACTGTTGCAATTCCAAGCTTCCTAATCACAAAAATGTTAAGGCAAAGAAGTCTCACGCGAAACGCACAGGCCGCTCTGCCGACACGTTTGGGGGCGCCACAGAAAGGAGTCACGCATAAGGAAAAAGGATGGAGGAGGAGGAGGAGGAGGAGGAGGAGGAGGAGGACGGGGGGAGGGGGGGAGGGGAAGGCAGGAGGAGGAGGAGGAGGACAGAGCGCGCTCCAGAGCATGCCCAAGAGAAGGGAGAGGGAGGGAAGGGTAACGGCAGAGGAGGGGGGGGGGATTGAGCCAGGCGCGGCCGCCTCTGCGTGTCCGCGTCCAGCGCCACCTCGACGATCCAGGGGCTCCGCTGTCCTCCTGCTCCGGCGAAGGGTGGGGTGGGGGTGGAGTGGGGGGAGGGGGGGGGGGGGGGGGCGGCGATCCGGAAGCTCCCCTCCACCGTCAGGGGGGAGCGAGGAGGGAGGAGGAGCGCAGAGATGGGAGGGATGGGGTCATGGGGGGCTGGGGCGGAGAAGAAGGTGTTCGCAGACTGTAGGAGGTCCTGAGGGAGTCTGGGACCTTATAGTCGGGGCGTTGACCTAAGGAACCCTAAATAAGGAACGAGGCCCCTATTTTCCATAAGTTAAACTTCGATTTCACATCGAAAACCTAAGGAAAACCTAAGGCAAGCTGCGAAACTATCAAGGAACACGGAGCCCCTCCCCAACGAAAAGGGTTCCTTCTTCAGGGCCCCGACTGTATGGGGGCCTCCATCATCCGAGAAGGCGGGGGGGGCCGGCAGCTGGGAGGCTGAGAGGCTGACAGGCTGGAGGGCACCAGAGGCTGGAAGGCTGGGAGGAGGGAGGACGAGGAGGAGGAGGAAGCAGGAATGCTGGGAGGAGGGAACAGGAAGGAGAAAGCAAAGAGGCTGGGAGAGAAGGTGCCCAACGATCGGCGGAGGCTGTGTTCGGCTTGGGCCGGACCTCGGGGAAAGGGAACCAGATCGGGGCGTTGTCGTCGTCGTCCTGAAGCTCCTGGCGAGCTCTAGCCGACCGCGCGGATGCCTGCCCACTTCGTCCACCCAAATGTGATCACCTCCACCAGCAGCATCATCACCCCCATCAGGGTCGTCGTCATCATCATCATCATCATCATCATCATCATCATCATCATCATCATCATCATCATCATCATCATCATCATCATCATCATCATCATCATCATCATCATCATCATCATCGTCATCGTCGTGAGCATCATCATCAGCAGCATCAGCATCAGCATCAGCATCATCAACATCATCAGCAGCATCATCAGCATCAGCATAGTAAGAATCATCCACATAATCATCATCAGTGCCATCATCATAATCATCATCATCAGCATCATCAGCATAATCATCATCAGCAGCAGCAGCATCAGCATCAGCATCATCATCAGCATCATCAGCATCAGCATCAGCGTCATCATCAACAGCAACAGCATCATTATCATCAGCAGCATGATCATCATCATCGTCATCATCAGCAGCAGCATCGTCATCGTCATCGTCGTCGTCGTCATGAGCAGCAGCTGCGGCAGCAGCCCTATCATCATTACCATCGTCGACGTCATCAGCCTGACCACCTCCTCAGCATCCATCATCATCATCATGAGCAGCAGCATCATCATCATCACATCGTCATCATCAGCATGATCATCATCACCGTCATCAGCATCATCATCGTCACGACAGCAGCTGCAGCACAATTACCCTCACCATCAAGATACGAAATGTCATCAACGTCGTCATCGTCAGTGTTGCCGTCATCTGCATCATCAGCATCATCATCAGCAGCAGCAGCAGGATCAGCCTCAAAATCAGCATTAGCATCACCATCATCATCATCATCATCATCATCATCATCACCACCATCATCATCATCATCATCATCATCATCATCAGCATCATCATCATCATCATCACTAACATAATCATCCTCATCATCATCATCATCACCATCATCATCATCATCGTCATCATCGTCGTCGTCAGCAGCTGCAGCAGCAGCCTCATCATCATTATCATCGTCGTCGTCATCAGCCTCACCGCCTCCTCAGCATATTCCACGCCCTCCTCCTCATCAGCACTCTCAACATAGTATGCTGCATCATCATCGTCAGTATCACCAGAATCAGCATCGACATAATCGTCAGCATCATCGTACGCGTCAGCGTAATCATAATCGTCAGCATCATCAGTATCATTGCACCGACCTTGCAGACGCGATGCAGCCGCTGGGAGCGTGGATTTCTGTCAGGGCAGAACCCCGAAACAGCGAGCAACAAAAGACGTGAATTTCACGTTGATTTGTTGTAGTCTTCACTCCTGGCCCAAAATGATCCGCGCGAAATTCACCTCGAAATCGGGAACAACATTCTCCAGGACAATCTGGGCCCATCCCATTGTTTTCCGAACGAAGCTCGCTCTGCGCTGTTGGCGCCATGATCAGTATCATCAACATCGTCATAGTCGACGTGATCGTCGTCGTCGTCACCGGCAGCGTCATCGTCATCATCCGCCTTCTCATCATCATCACCAGCATCAGCAGCAGCATTATCGTCATCCGAACCGCCATCATCGTCAGCATCAGCATCAGCAGCGCCGTCTTCATCATCATCAGCAGCATCATCAGCATCATCATCGTCGTCGTCGCCATCATCATCATCATCATCATCATCATCATCATCATCATCATCATCAGCATCAGCATCATCACCATCATCACCATCATCACCATCATCATCATCAGCATCGTCATCATCCTCGGCATCATCATCAGCAGGAGCATCGTCGTCGTCGGCAGAATCATCATCATCATCATCATCATCATCATCATCCCCAACATCATCATCACCAGCAGCATCATCAGCAGCATCATGTTCATTATGATCATCATCATCATCATCATCATCATCATCATCATCATCATCATCATCATCACCATCATCATCATCATCATCATCATCATCATCAGCATCATCATCATCATCAGCAGCAGCAGAAGCATCACCACCGCTTCCACCGCCATCACCACCACCGTCACAATCATCAACGGCGGCAGCATCATCGTCATCGTCATCGTCATCACCACCACCACCACCACCACCATCCATCATCTGTCCACAGGCATCCATCCTCGCCTGTTCGGGCTTCCAAAAAGCCGAAGATGGCCCCCGGGGCCACCAAGATAGCCCCAACACGGTCCAAGAAGCCCCCAAGAGAGCCCCAAAGAGAGCCTCAAAAGAGGGCTCCAGGACGACCGCAAGATGCACCCAAGGTGCCTCCAAGACGGCTCAAGATAGCTCCCAGGCGATCCAAACTGGCCCAAAAACGGCCCAGACGACCCCAAACAAGCCCAAGACGGCCTCAAGACGGCCCAAGAGGCCATCGAGGAAGGCCCGCATCTGCAAAGCAGCCCCCGTTGAGTGTTCAACGAGTTCCATGTGCTCGCGTGTTGAGGCTTCCGACGGCCGAAGACGGCCGCAGGGGTCTCCACGTTGGCTCTAGGATGGCCCAAAAGGCCTCCAAGAGAGCACCAAGACTGACCAAGAGGCCCCCAAGACGGCCCCACGAGGGCCTCAGGACGGCCCAAGAGACCTTCAAGAGACTGCCCCGCGGCGCCGCAGGAGGGCCCCGAGACGGCCCAGACAGGCCCCCCAGACGGACTCCGGAGGCGCCCGACGGGGCAAGAGAGCCACAAGACGGCCCAAGAACATCCAAGAGATCCCCAGAGGAGGCCCCCCAAGAGGCCCACAAGAAGCCCCAGCAGGCCCGCAAGACGCCCCAGCAGATACCCCCTGAGAGGCCCCAAGGGCCTCCTCACCCTCCACCTCACTGCCCTCCATCTCTTCATCCTCTCCCTCCTCCTCCCCCCAAGTGTTCCACAACGGGTGGTGGACACATAGTTCAATATCTTAGACTGACTTTGGCCCAACGTTTGGCTACATCGACGTTTCCGTAAGGGCGGGTGGGGGGGCGGTGATTCGCCGTAGACGCCTACGACAAGATAAAGGGATCGAGGGAGGACGAGGAGGGAGTAGGGACGAGGGAGGACGACGAGGACGAGGACGAGGACGAGGACGAGGACAAGGGAAGAGCAGGAGGAGGAGGAGGAGGAGGAGGAGGAGGAGGGAGGACGACGACCAGGCAACCACATGTGAACCTTACCCCATACGGGGAAGATTTCTGAAAAGCTGGCTGGGGACCAGAATCCAAGACATGCCTACGGCCAAACGAACCCCAACCGGGGTGTCTGGTACCCCAGCGTCGACTGGACCCGCAGGGCTAGGTCTCTCAAGGGGTCGCAGCAGGACGAGGAGGGAGGAGGGACAGAGGTCGGAGGACGGAGAAGGGAGGAGGACAGAGGAGAGGAGGGCGGAGGAGGAGGAGGGCGGAGGAGGAGGAGGAGAGGGGGAGGAGGAGAGGAGGGGGAGGGGAGGAGGAGGAGGAGGGGGAGGAGGAGAGGAGGAGGAGGAGGAGAGGACGACGACGACGACGACGACGACGACGACGACGACGACGACGACGACGACGCCGCGAACCACGACGCCGGCGGCGGCGGCGGCCCGAGCCTTCGGGCGCGCCCTGCCCCGGCGCGCCGCCCGCGGCTCCCTGGGGGTGCCGCGCCGCGCCGCCTCGGCAGGCCGCGCCGCCCTGCGGGGGCCCCGCGACGGCCGGGGGCGCGGCCCCGCCCAGGTCGGCCTCGGCCGCCATGGCGGCCCGGAAGGCCTCCTCGCGGGGAGGAGAATGAAGTGATGGGCCTGTCTTCCACCACCACCACCATAAGTTGGAGGGGGAAAGGAGGTGGAGGAGGAGGAGGAGGAGGAGGAGGAGGAGGAGGAGGAGGACCCCCTCCCCCTCCAACTTATGGTGGTGGTGGTGGTGGTGGAAAACAGGCCCATCATGAAGGAGGCACGGTGGAGCAAGCGACGCTCGAGGGCGGGCCTCGGCACGGTGCGAGCGAGACGATCGAGAAGCGGGTCTACGCCGATCCAGAGAAACGGGTCTGGGGAGGGCCTCCTCGTGGTGCGATGTGGACGACGCTCAGAAACGGGCCTCGGTGCTGTGCGAACGACGATCAAAGACGGGTCTTGGTACTGTGCGAACGACGATCAAAAACGAGTCGGGGAAAGAAATCCTCTTGGTACTATGTGAACGACGATCAAAGACGGGTCTTGGTTCTGTGCGAACGACGATCAAAAGCGGATCTTGCGAATGCCTCCTCATGGTACTATGTGAACGACGATCACAAACGGGTGTTGGTACTATGTCGTATCGTATGTACCTGCCGTATCAGAATCGCGCGCGCAACGGCGCTCCAACGGGCCACTGTGGCACCCACTCGGGCGCACGATTCGGCGGCGAAATCCGAGCCCTACCCTTGCTGATCAACGATTCAGGCAAGTCGATGGGCGGCGGGGGTAGGGTTCGGAATTCGTCGAACACGTGGGTGACGATCAAAAAGGGGTCTTACGCGAGATAGCACAGCTACCTTACGCCTCAGCTTACACGGCCGCCAGCACGGCACGCCACGTTGAAAACGAGGGCGCTCCAGCGCGACCTTGTGCGAGCAGCTTTCGCGCCATTGTCGGCGCAGACGACCCCGTTTTTTGCAATGCTCATGTGTCCTCCTTGGAGGCGTGCGTCCGACCCGAACACAAAGTACAACAATCCTGGAAGAGATCGTTGCCCAAGCACCATGGTCAGAAAGCGCCCGCCACAGGGCTTATACTGTAAGATTTCTCGGCGCGCGCGTCGCCCCTGGGGGGGCGACGCGCCGACCTCAGGCGGCGCGCAAGGTGACCCTGGGCGAGAGGCGAACGATTAGCGGCGAGCGCGGGGAGGAAATGAGAACGGGCGCGCCTTCTCACAGAAGGCTCGCGAGTCCCCCGGCCTTCTGAGAAGTGCCCGGAGCCTTCCCCGAATTCACGGACGCTCCTCACAAGCCGCGGGGGCTTCTGAGAAGTCCCGCCGCCTTCTGTCGGAAGCCGGGCAAGGGCTGCTAAATCCGTGGCTGCTAAAATCGACCTTCGGGAAGTTGTCTTCGTCCTTCCGGGAAGAAGCCCATTGACTGTTTCGCGTGCCGCGCCTCATTCCGAGAAGTTGTTTCTTCCTTCCGGGAGGGCCGTTTTAGCAGCCACGGTTTCAGCAGCCCTCGCCCAGCTTTCGATTCTGGGAAGGCCTTCTCTCTCTCTCACTTCCCCTCCTGCGCCCACCCTTGGAACGAGGGCGGCCGCGTGGGCGCCGGTCCGAGGCAGGGTCCTACGCGGGATGGCGTGGCGGCCGCACGCCGCAGACCGACTCTCCGGGCCGCGGGCGCGGCGGGCGCAGCGCTGGCAGTCCAGCGCGACCCCACGCGGGGGCAGCCGGCAGAGTCGACGCCCGCTGTTCCGCGCCGCTCGCGCGGGCTGGGGCGACATGCCCTGACGCTCGCCAGAGGCTCTGTCGACGGTGGGCAAGGCAAGCCTCCCGTTAGTGCACCTCCCTCTTTACTGAAAACGGCCCGGGACCGAAGCCGACGGGCCTGGACCCGCACAAGTGGCGGCCGCGACGCCCTCTCGCGGACCGAAGACGGCCGATTCGCTAATCGACGTGTCAGGCTAGGAGGTCTATCAACCTCCGACTCCAGACGAAACGCAACTGCACGAAGACGCCCTGGAGGCTCGAGAGGCAGTCCCCAACGCCCTCGACCCTGCGAGGAGGAGGAGGAGGAGGAGGAGGGAGGAGGAGGAGGAGGAGGAGGAGGAAGAGGAGGAGGAGGAGGAGAAGGAGGAGGAGGAAAAGGAGGAGGAGGAGGAGGAGGAGGAGGAGGGGCAGGAGGAGGAGGAGGGAGGCGACAGAGAGGAACAGGTCTGATGCGGCAGGGCCTAGCGACCTTCACGCCGCGGCGTGCGCGAGCCGCTGGCGTGGCACACCACGTGGAGGAGGGGGCGCTGACGCGGGGCCTGACAGGGAAAGCTTGCGCGCGAATGTCGGCGCAGTCGGCCGCGCTGTCTCTCTTAAGTCGCTCGGGTGACCACTGGTGTTATGTCGGGCGTGTCCTCCTGCAGGGGGATTTTCGACGAAACATGAAAAATACCCAAAAATACACCAAAAAGGCCAAAACATACTCAAAAAATAGTCCCCAGACTATTTTGGGACTATCTTTTGATTACTTTTGGGGTAGTTGTTATTTTTCGTCGAAAATCCCCCTGTAGGGGGACAGGCCCGACTTAACACTGGTGCGCAGCTCTGCAGCCATCGTGCCAACACCGGGAGCGCCGACACCAGGAACGGAGGGGCTCGCTCTGGCCAAGGGCCAGCCTCGGCCACAAGCAGTCTCCAAGACTTAGACTTAGATCGGGCCTGTCCCCCCACAGGCGGATCTTGGAAGAAAAATGGCGACAGCCAACAAAGGTTCACAAATGGTCACAATAGTCGGAAAAAACGTCCCCGGACTATGATTTGACTATCTTTGAATACCCCTCATGTAGAGCGACATGCCCGACCTTAGAGGCCTCCTAGATGAGGTCCGAGTAGATGAGGTCGAAGGGTCGCGCAGCATCGCCAATGCATCGGCGATGCATCGGCGACGTCGGCGACACATCCGCGACGTCGGCGTGGGGAAAATCGGGCTCCACATCGGACCGCACCGCCGATGCATCGGCGATGCGGCACGATCCTCCGACCGCACCTACTCCGAACCCATCTGGGAAGCCTAGAGACTTGAATAGGGGAACAAACAATGACATAAGCATGAAGACTCGGAGGTCCGCGCAGATTTCTCGCATCCGCGCTGGACCCCCCTCCCTGGCACGCTCCGCGCGCCGGGGGCGGCGCCGGAGGCGCCGCCAGGGGGGGTCCAGCGCGAAGGCGAGACATCCGCGCGGACCTCCGAGTTCTTATGTCTGTGTCATCGCTCGTTCCCCCACGAAGCTGAGACCTGAGGAGCGGGCCAAGACCAGGGCCGCGCCCCTCCCGCGCCGACAATCGGGTCGGGCGAAAGGGGGGGATAGCAAAGGGGGGGTTTGAGAATCAGCTCACGTAGCTGATTTTCCCGGCGCCTCCCGGCGCCGGGAGGCGGCTATGTATCGAGGAATGGGCCCCTCGGTGAGGCCGAAATCAGCTGCATGCAGCAAATTTCGTAACCCCCCCTTTCCCAATCCCCCCCTTTCGCCCGACCCGAGACAAGGGGGGGCCCCGCTGCCGCACCTGTTTTAGGCTTGTGGGCCTCTGCTGGGTGCGCCGCTGCCGGGGGCCGCCGGGAGGGGCCGAGGCCTCGGGTCGGGCCTCTGTCCCCCCACGGGGGGGGGGCCTCTTGGACGAAGCATAAAAAAGGCTCCAAAAATATGCAAAAGATGCCAAGAAGTACTCAAAAGATGCAAAAAAAACATCCAACAGATGCTCAGAAGAATAAGAAATGTCCAAAAAATATCCAAGAGATGCCCAGAAATACTCAAAAGATAGCCCCGCGACTGCTGCTTGGACTGTGTTGGGCTGCTCCCCCCTCGCAAAAGGGCCGGGCCCGACACTTCAGGCCGGTCCGAGCGCGCAGGCCGTGAGGCGGCAAAAAACGGCACCCGGAGCGGGCCTCGGGAGCTGGGCGCGGGCCGGCAAACCCGTGGCTGCCAAAACGGTCTTCCAGGAAGAGGGGAAAAAGAAGAAGAAATAAAAAAATAAAATTAAACAAAAAAAAAAAAAAAAAAAAAAAACGGAATAAAACCCAGCGCGCCAAACAGTCCACGGGCTGCTCCCCCGAAGAGAAAAACAAGTTCGAAACAATGTCCCGGAGCTCCGTTTTAGCAGCCACGGGCTTGCCTGGCCTCCGCCAAAACGCTCGTCCGGGCTGGCAGATCCGTGGCTGCCAAAACGGTCTTCCAGGAATGACCCTGACCTTCCAGGAGGGTTAAAAAGCAGCACCCGACTTAAAAACCAATCCCAGAGCTACTCTACGTCTTGGTTTTTTAGGCTGCTTCGCTCAGCTGTTTAGGTTTTTAGGCCTCCAGTGCCAAACAATAGCTCTCTGGAAGGTCGGGGGACTACCTACCAGACCACCCCAACCCAGCCCGAAGACCCGAACTTGACCCGAATTTCGGGTTGGGGGGGTACGGGTTCCATGTGTGTTTTCAATCTTCCCCGACCCCCCCCCTCACTGGAAATCAAGGATAAATTTGGGCCTTCGGGTTGGGCTGGGGTGGCTTGGTGGGTGGTGAAGGAAGAGGAAAAAAACAACTCCCGGAATAAAAACCGGCGCGCCAAACAGTCAACGGGCTGCTCCTCCGAAGAAAAAAAAAAAAAAAAAAAACCTCCCGGAGTTCCGTTGTGGCAGCCACGGGCTTGCCAGCCTCCCCCTGGCTTCTGAGCGGGGCAGAATCGGATCGGGAAACATCGGAGACCTCTGAGACCTGGCGGTTCTGACCGATGCATCTGGCGCCGCGGCCGTCCCGGCGCGCTCCAGAAACGCTCTCAACGTGCCCGAGCGCTCTGGAACGATGTCGTGAGCCTGCTTTTTTTTAGACCCCAGCATAACACATAGGATTCTTAAACATATGATTTGTAATACATGATTAATGTACGAATACATGTATGTATGAAGTCATCGTTGCTTTTAATACTAAATCCCTGCATGTTTAATACATGATCCGCACGCGGAGCATGTGTTAAAAACGGCACTGTACCTGCATGGACGGGGGGGAGGCCCGAATCTCAAGCAGGCCGCAGACGACCTACACGCGCGGAAGTCACGCGAGTCGAAAGGCGCTTGCACGCCAGTGCTCCTCGTTCGAAGAGGGGCGAGGGGAGGGGGGGGGGGGGGGCGAACGCCATGCAAGTAAACTTGCCATAATGGTATGTTTTTACTAATTCGTGTTTCGGCTCCGTCCGCTGCTGGGCCCGCCTGATGCTGCGGGGGCCCTTTCGGGGCCGCGTCGGGGACCTTCTTGCCCGGGACAGTCCAGACCCGAGGCAGTCAGGCCCTGCAGACTCCTGCAAGATCCTGCAAGATCCTGCACTCAAGCCCGGGTCACTGCGAAGGATCCTGCAAGATCCTGCAGCATCCTGCACCCGAGCCCGGGTCAGTGCGACCCTGTCCCTGCAGGATCCTGCAAGACCTGGCGCTCCAGGAGGAGGAGGAGGAGGAGGAGGAGGAGGAGGAGGAGGAGGAGGAGGAGGAGGAGGAGGAGGAGAGAGGAGGAGGAGGAGGAGGAGTTGGAGAGGTAGGAGGAGGAGGAGGAGGAGGAGGAGGAGTAGGAGGAGGAGGAGGAGAGGAGGAGGAGGAGGAGGAGGAGGACCCCCCCGTTTGCACTGACCCCCCGCCTCTTGAGCCCCCACCGCGCTGGGAGGTGACGCCCCCGGCTATGCTCCCGAGGCGCGGCCCCTCGGACGCGTGCCGACCGCTCTCCCTCCCCCAGAAGGGTCAGGGCTTCTCGCCCCCCAGCCGCTCTCGGAGACGGCCTCGCGAGGGCCACCCCCCGGAGACCGAAGGTGCGAGGCGTCCTGGTGTCCCGTGGATCTTGGTATATTTCGGCCCCCGGGGGCCCGAATCTGTGCATATCCAGCGCCTGCCGAGGCTCCGAAAACTGACCCTCTGGGCGGTGGCCATGTAGAAGTTCCCGCCTCGGAGAGGAGGGACAAAGAACAGACCCGCCGCGATCTCTGGCGAGGCGGGGATCAAGCCACGTCCACCTCCCTCCTCCCTCCTCCCTCTTCGCCCTTCCACCTCCCCTCTCCTCCTCCTCCCTCCTCCTCCTCCTCCTCCTCCTCCTCCTCCTTCCTCCTCCTCCTCCTCCCTCCTCCTCCTCCTCCTCCTCCTCCTCCTCCTCCTCCTCCTCCTCCTCCTCCCTCCGCCTGGGAGCCAACGTCCTGGGGGCCCAGCGGGCGGTGGAAATGGACGTGTCCTGGCGCCCAGGGGCCCGAATACGGTCCACCCGTGTCATCAGGACGCAGGATGAGGATGCAGAGGCCTTGGAGGGCCATGTCCACGCTCTGCGAGCCAAGGAGGGGCCGAAGGGGAAGGATGCATAGAAGAAGAAGATGAAGAAGAAGAAGAAGAAGAATTACAACAACAACAACAACAACAACAACAACAACAACAACAACAACAACAACAACAACAACAACAACAACAACAACAACAACAACAATTACAACAACAACAACAACAACAACAACAACAACAACAACAACAACAGCAACAACAACAACAACAACAACAACAACAACAACAACAACAACAACAACAACAACAAAATACAAACAAAACGAGCACACACAAAAAAACGCCATAAACGTAAATTGTTGGCGCTCCATGCTGATTTCTTGGATCTGCGCTGGACCCCCCTCCCTGGCGCGCGGAGCTCGCCAAGGGCGGCGTCGGAGGCGCCGCCGGGGGGGCCCAGCGCGGATCCAAGAAATCCGGGTGGCCCAGCCCCGTGAGACGAAATTGCAGCGCCCAGATCTCAGGGTCGTCACGACGCGAGGCTTGTCTTGGGACGCGCGCCGATCGGGACAGTCCGAGCACCCCCAAAACGCCCTCGGCGAAGCGCAGCTACTGAAACACATCTCAAGGCTGGAAGACCGCCGAGAACCAACGAGAACACCCTGAAACCTCGACGTACAATTTCCACCCTCGAAAACATCGAAAACATGTGAAAATCTTGGATAACATCGAAAGCGTTCGAAAACATATGACAACGCCCTCAAACCTCGACAAAACCAAATGTTGAAAACATCGAGAACATAAGAAAACCGTAAAACATCGAAAACGTTCGAAAAACAACGAACAACATAACTGAAACCTCGAACCTTGACGAGAGTAAGTGGCGACATCCGACCCCCATCCCCACAAACCAACGCTTCTCCCGAATCGATGGGATGCGGGTGTAAGGTTCGGATCTCGCCACGCGTTCGACGAATTCGGAACGCTACTCCCCCGTCCATCGAGTTCACTGAATCGTTGTTCAGCGACGGTAGGGTTCGGATTTCGCCGCCGACAAATCACATGGCTATCTCAGTAGCAAAAATTAGGGGCTTCATAGATGAGATCGGGCCGCATCGCCGATACATCGGCGATGCATTGGCGATGCATCAGCGACGTCGGCGTGGAAAGAATCTGGCTCCACATCGCGCTGCACTGCCGATGCATCGGCGATGCGGCGCGACCCTCCGACCCCTTCTGCTCGGACCGGACCTCGGAGGCCTGGAAGACTGCAGCGTTCAGATCTCAGAGGGTTGCCACGACTTGGCGGCGCGCCCAAGGGGGTTGGGGGAGGGGGGAAGGCTTCTTAGGAGGCTGCTTCGGCCCACGCCCTCTGAGCAGCCTCCTTCCAAGAAGCAGTCCCCCTCCCCCGGCCCTACCCCCTCTGCGCGTGGCCGAACGACGCGAGGCCTGTATTGGACGCGAAATAATGAGGGGCGACCAGTGTTTGGGGGGGAGAAAGGTGTTCTTATCGGGCCCTAACGGCCCCCTGAGGGTCCCTCAAGGGCTCCTTTATAGGCCCTGAAGGGCTCTTTTTCGGCAGCCCTCGCTGCCCTCCAATTATCGCCCCCCCCACTATCGCCGCCCACATGGGCCCGAAAACGTCTTCATCTAACGAGGGCGCATCTTCTATTTCGCCGCCTTCCGCCAGCCTTCCGCTGACCTTCCGCCGCCTTCCGCCGCGGAAGCGATGACAACTCTTGCGCCTCCTCCTCCTCCCCCTCCCTCCTCCACGTCCTCCTCCTCCTCCTCCTCCTCCTCCTCCTCCTCCTCCTCCTCCTCCTCCTCCTCCTCCTCCTCCTCCTCCTCCTCCTCCTCCTCCTCCCTTCCCCTCCCTCCTCCTCCCTCCTCCTCCTCCTCCCCTCCTCCCTCCTCCTCCTCCCTCCCTCCCTTCCTCCTCCCTCCTCTCCTCCTCCTCCTCCTCCTCCTCCTCCTCCTCCCCATCCTCCTTCCTGCCTCCTCCTCCTCCTCCTCCTCTCCTCTTCTCCTCCTCCTCCTCCTCCTCCTCCTCCTCCTCCTCCTCTCCTCCTCCTCCTCCTCCTCCTCCGCCTCCACCTCTCTCCTCCTCCTCCTCCTCCTCGCCTCCGCCTCCCCCTCCGCCTCCGCCTCCGCCTCCGCCTCCGCCTCCGCCTCCTCCTCCTCCTCTCCTCCTCCTCCTCCTCCTCCTCCTCCTCCTCCTCCCCTCCTGCTCCTCCTCCTCCTCCTCCTCCTCCTCCCCTCCTCCTCCACCTCCTCCTCCTCCTCCTCCCTCCTCCTCCTCCTCCTCCTCCTCCTCCTCCTCCTCCTCCTCCTCCTCCTCCTCCTCCTCCTCCTCCTCCTCCTCCTCCTCCTCCTCCTCCTCCTCCTCCTCCTCCCCCTCCCCGAAGGCGAGGCCCCTTCTGGCACGCCTCCTGTACGGGGAGGCCCCCCCGAGCGAGGGGTGCCGCCCTGGGCGCGCCCGCCCGGAGTCCTGCAGCCGCTGCTCCTCCTCGGCGGCGCCGGGGCTCCACGACACGACGCCGAGGGCGCCGAGCTCGCGCGCGGCGCGCCGGGCGGCCTCGACGGGCGCCAAGGTCCGCCGCCGCGCCTGCGGCGGCGTGCGTGCGTCGGGCCCCCTTCGTGAGACGACGAGGCCAGGGCGAGGACAGATCGAGGATCTCTGAGATCCAGTGGCTCCGGAGGACGTCTCGGGCGCCGCAGCCTTCTCGGAGCGTTCCAGAACGCTCTGGAAAGGATGCAACCGCGTCCTCGCCCCCCGTCCGCTTGGTGTGCGCGTCGGGCCCCGCCGCCTCCTGCGAAGCAGTCGTGAGGGCCCCCCGACGCATCGGGCCCGAGAGGCGCTCACTGCTGTGGCCAGGTCCCTGCGTGCTGTGGCCTCCCAGGCGGACAGTCGTCCCAAATGCACAGGGCCTGGGGCAGGGAGGGTCCACGGACCCTCCCCCCCCCAAGGTTCCCCCCCCCCCCGCGCGCCCGAGCGCGGGGGCGGAATCGCGCGGCAGCGCAACCGGATCATGTCCACGCGGAGGCGCGCGCGGAGCCGCGCGAGCTCGGCGTCCGTGAAGGGCTGCGCGTCCCTCGTCGGCGGCGAGCCCCGGGCGGAAGGGCGAGAGGGGGCAGGCCTCCTCGGAGAGGTGCCGGGGCCTCTCGGCTGCCCTCGCGCCCTCCAAGAGATCCTCTGGGCCTCCTCCGAAGAAGGCCACGGGAGGCCTCTCGGAGGGCGCGAGCGCTGCCGCCCCCTTCGAGGGTCTGCCCCCTCTCACTTGGGCCCCGGGGCTCGCCGCCGGCCTCAGGGTGCCCTGCAGGATCCCGCGCACCTTTTTGGTCGGGGAGAGGTGCAAAGTGTGGGGGGTGCTGCCAGAAGTGCCCCTGGGCCGAGGTGCCCCCCAGGATCTTCGGGGTGGCCCACGCGGCCTCAGAGGGCACCCCTCGGGAGGCCCAGAGGGCCCCCAAGGGCGCCCTCCCAGCTTTTCTCGCTCCATTTGGGAGCCCCTGGGGGCCCTCTGGGCCTCCTGAGGGGTGCCCTCGGAGGCCGCGTGGGCCACCCCGAAGATCCTGGGGGGCGCCTCGGGCCAGGGGCACTTCTGGCAACACCCGAGCAAAAAGGGCACAGGCAGAAGCTTTCGGAACTCCGAGCGGCTCTCTCTTGGGTCGGCGCGGGACCCCCCACAGCGCAGGCCCGGCGCCGATCCGAAAGATGCCGCGCAAATGATGAGCATCGTTGGACCGATTCCTCCTCCTCCTCCTCCTCCTCCTCCTCCTCCTCCTCCTCCTCCTCCTCCTTCCTCCTCCTCCTCCTCCTCCTCCTCCTCTTCCTCTTCCTCCTCCTCCTCCTCCTCCTCCTCCTCATCCATCCCCGCGGGCGTGGCCTGGGCCCCACTGGCCGACTTGCACGCCGAGGTGGGGAGGTGTGCCTGCTCCTTCGGGAATTTCGTGGGGCCTGTCCCAACCCAGGAGGGTGGGCTTGTGCAGCTGAGATTCCATGGCCAAGTGGGCGAGTTCGGAAACACTGAGCCCTGGTGGCACATCTGTTACTTCTGCCGCCTTCCGCCGAGTTTTCGCCGGCTTCCGCCGGCGGAGGCGGCCTCGTTTTACTTCCGCCAACCTTCCGCCGCCCTTCCGCCGACCTCCGCCGAGGAAGAGACGACAATCCCTCCGATCCTCGAAGGCAACGAGGCCCTACCTGGAGCGCCTCGTGTGGGGACGGGAGAATGGGTTACTCCAGATTTCGTAATAAAGGGAGGGGGGTCTCATTTCGGGGGGGGTCTCTTCCAGGCTATCTTGGAGGGCCTGGGGGGGTCTGGGGACGATATTTTGGAGGGTTCTCCCACGGGGGAGGTCTGAAATGGCTTGTCTTGGAGGGTCCAACGAAATCTGGAGTAGACGATGATGAGAACATTGCACAGAGCGGCACAAGCCGAAGCGCTCGGAGCTCCGCGCGGATCTCTTGGATGGGCGCCGAGCCCCCACGCGGCGGCGCCTCCGACGCCGCCACAGGGCGCGCTCCTCGCGCGCCGAGGAGGGGGGGGCCCCCGCGCCGATCCGAAGGATCCGCGCGGAGCTCCACATGTTGATGCTTGTGCAATTGTCTCAAGGGCTCCCAGCTTCGCGCTTCGCGCTGCGCGAAGCGCGAAGCGCGAATAACTTCGCGCCCTCGCGCCGCCTCCCAGGGGGGAAGAGGAGGAAGAGGAGGAATCGAAGCCGAACCGCGAAGCGCGAAGCGCGAGTAACTTCGCGCCCTCGAGGGCGCCCTTGGTAAGACTTTTGGAGGCCTGGAAATTGGCACCAACACCAGCCCAGGGGGTTGCCTCCACAGGGGGAAGATGATCCCAGATGTCGGTGCTGGTGGCCATATTTCGGCCACCCTGGAGGCCAGGATATTACCACCATCACCGAGAACGGGATCGTCTTCCCTCGGTGGAGGCACACCGCCGATCTTGGTTGTGGGTGTCAACCTCTAAGCCTGCGAGACTTGGGCTCGCGAAATTCGGATTGGCCTGACTGGGCCGTCAGGGAAGCGGCGAGAACCAGGTCGGCATTTGACGGGAACTCCCCCATGCAAACATCTCGCGGAAACCGAAGACCGTCAAAACTCAGGGCGGGCCCGTCAATAACCCCTTACCGCGGATAATGAACACCCAGGGATAATAAAGTTCGGGGTTTTCGGGGAGATGATAAAAGTTGCCCGCCAGAGCCAGCATAAAGAGATATCAAGAGGAAAAAGCCAAAGATATCTTGAGAATCCTTGGTCTTTGGTCCTCTATGAGACATCCTCAACAATGATTTGTCTCGGTTGAGACATCCTCAACGAATTGCTTGTTTCGCTTGAGACATCCTCGAAATATTTGCCTGTTTCGCTTGAGACATCTTCAAAGTATTGCTTATTTCGCTTGAGGCATCCTTGAAATCATTGCTTGTTTCGCTTGAGGCATCCTCGACAAATCCTCGACAAGAGGAAGAGGAGGTAGAGGAGGAAGAGGAGGAAGAGGATGAGAAGGAGGAGAAATAGCAAGACTATAGAGAAGAACGAGGAAGCAAAAATACAAAGTTCAAAACCTATTAGATTTAATTTGTAAACGCTTGATGAAAATTAAAATTTTCATCTGCTCCTGTAGGGGTAGCTCATGTGCTTAGTTTTCCCAGGATAATCAACCCCAGCGATAAACAAGTTCAGGGGGCCAGGGAGACAAGAAGAAAAATAATTAGAAAGAGAAATATAAAGAAAGAAGAAAAGGAAGAGGAGAAGGATGAGAAGGAGGAAGAGCAGGAGAAGCAGAGCAGGAGGTAGAAGCAAACATCCAAAGTTGAAAATTTATTAGATTTAAGTTGTAAACGCTTAATGAAAATGATTTGTTTCATCTGCTCGTGTAGTGTAGCTCATGTGCTTAGTTTTCCCAGGATAATCAACCCCAGCGATAAACAAGTTCAGGGCGCCAGTGGGAGGAGGAGAAAGAAAAACAGAGAGAGAGAGAGACAGAGAGAGAGAGAGAAAACAAAAAAAAAAAAAAAAGCAACACAAAGAAAAAGAGAGAAAGAGAGAGAGAGAGGAAGGAAGAGGGAGGAGGGAGGAGGAGGGAGGAGGAGCAGGAGATGTTGCTATCTCAACATAAGAAGGAAGTAACCTCGATGGCGAACTTTCCCAGTGATAATGAAGTTCGGCCTCCGCGCCCTCCGCCTATATTTGAAACCCTTCTAGGCCGACGATAAAAAACTCTAACGACTTAAGGGGGGGGTACTTTATTATCTTCGGCATGGGGTTAGGCGTCGGCAAACCCGAGTTCTGGCGAACTCGAGCCTAGCACTTCCCCACATCCAGGAGAGCCAAGGATCGAATAAGTCGGAGGACCAGCGATCGTAAACGAATCGGATCGATGGAAATCGGCGGCCAAGTCGGGAGAAGTCGAATCGGCAGAAATCGGCGGGCTGGTAAGGCCTCCAGCGAAGAACCGGAATCCAAATCGGAATCCGAAGTCGCATCGAACCGGAATAGGAACCCCTCGAAACCGAAGCGACTCGCATCGGAAGAGCCCTGACATTCAGGGAGCCCACAAAAGGCATGAACATGCCCCCACCCGTCCGCGAGTCCGGCCGCGTGATACGAACGTTCGCGCAATGCGTACTCTCGAAACCAACGTGGATTCATGTTCGGTGGCAACGCATGGGAGCCTCCCATACCATCTTGTCGGCTCTTGCGAATCGACGCTAATCCATGCTAGCCGACGCTAATCGACGCTACTTGACGCTAAATCGACGCCAATCGACGCTAACCGACGCTAAGTCGGCGCTGTCTCATCGACTCCCAGACGCTAATCGGCGCCAATCAACACTAAAGACGGAATCACGAGGGCGTACCAGGCTCCCATGATTTGCTACCGCATTCATGGTACGCGTACGTCCTTCTTTCGCTCCTGAACATTTTCGGCGGCGAGCCCGGGGGAGAAGTGAGGAGAAGGCCTCCTCAGAAGGTTCGGAAGTCCCCTGGCCTTCTGATAAGTTTTCTAAGCCTTCCCCGAAGACAGAAAGAACTTCTCAGAAGGCGCGGGGGCTTCTGAGAAGTCCCGCCGCCTTCTGAGAAGGCCGTCTCCTTCTCCTTCTCCTGCTCGCCGCCGACATTTGTCACTGCACAGATCTTGCAGACGTGCTGCAGCGGATTCTTAGCATGGATTTCTGTCAACGCAAAACCCCGAAACGGCGAGTGAAAAACGAAGTGAATCTCGCGTGGACTTTGTTTTAGTCTTCCTTCCTGGCCCGAAACTGCACGAATCTCGCCTCGAAGTCCGGAACGAAACTCTCCAGGACACCCCGGGCCCACCCGATTGTTTTCCGAACGAACTCCGCTCTTAGAGTCATGGGGTCGGAGTAGATGGGGTCGGAGGACCGCGCCGCATCACCGATACATCGACGATACATCGGCGATGCATCGGCGATGCATCAGCGATGCACCGGTGATGAGGCGTCGACGTCGGCGATGTATCGGCGACGTCGGCGTGGGGAAAATCGGGCTCCGCATCGAGCCGCATCGTCGATGCATCGGCGATGCGGCGCGACCCTCCGACCCCGTCTACTCCGACCCCATCTAGGAGGTCTAGAGTTCTGCGATGTTGGCGCCATGGCATCTTGGCGCCTTGCCCATGCCCAGGCTGCCCTTCAGCGTGCGGTGCCGCTCGCCGCGGGCCTCGATCCGCGCCTGAGGTCGGGCGAAAGGGGGGGATATGTATCGAGGAATGGGCCCCTCGGTGAGGCCGAAACCAGCTGCATGCAGCAAATTTCGTAACCCCCCCTTTCCCAATCCCCCCCTTTCGCCCGATCCGCGCCTGGCACAGCTCCGCTGTGTGCTCCCAGCGGCCCTCCGGGTCCGCCGGGTGGCGCACCTCCACGAGCACGGCCTCGCCTTTGGCCGCGGAAGGCAAAACTCTCGGAGGCGCGCGGGCGTGGACTGGCGATCCGTGGACTCGGCGCGCGGTCGCCAGAGCCACGGATCGGGGAGGTGCCCTCCTCAAAAGGCGGCCAGTGCCGCCTCGCCCGGCGGCGGCAATCCGCGATGTCCCCTGGAGACGGGACCCGCCGCTCATCCACGCCCCCTCAATGCATCGTTTGCGATCGCCCGAACCTCCTGCAAGCCCCCTCGAAGCCGAACGCAAGCTTCTATCCTACCCCCTCGCTCCCAGATATCACCGTGGATGGACGCGCGCAGCGCTGCCGTCAGCAGAACAGTTGCAGTCGCGAGCATCGGCACCAGCATTGAAATGTTGGGCCCCAGGGCGTCGCCACGTCGCGGGAGAAACTTGCGCTTGATTTCGAGGAGGGATGTGGGACGTCCGTGCAAGAACGGTGAAGGGCTATTGAGCCTGATGACGAGTCGGTCGGAAGAAGCGGCCAGAGACATGAAGCAGGAAGGCGTCGCGAAGTGGATCGGGCTTCCGCCCCCCCCTGAAGAGGAGGGACGAGGGAAAAACACTCCATCCTTGATGTAGGAAGGCGGCTAAGGTGGATTGGGATTTTGGAATCCCAGCATACCTACTTTCAACGACTGGCGTGTAGGGGGCCAATATGCCAGACTCGGCCAAATCAGGCCCTGGATTAAGCCTGGCCAAACGGGACTCAGCCAGAATGAGCGGGATCCAGCGGACTTCAACGGAGTGAAAAGGAACTAGGCCAGATTAGGCCTGTTCCCGACCACGGATACACCAGCGCCGATTCTGAATTTAACCTCCCAGAAGTTGCATCCGAACCTCGGAGGCCAGCGTCCATCGCGTCCAGGATCTCCTGGCGGTGCTGCCGCAGCGTGTTGATCTTGTCAACGAGCAGTACCTGGGTCTGCTTGTCACCGGCCGCCCTTTTGACTTCGGCGAGGAAGGCCTTTTTCGCGCCCTTGCCCAGGTGGCTGAACTCGTCCTGATTCACCCACGTGCCTCCGAACAGATGGCGCAGCATCCTGCACAGAGTACTCTTCCCGGAGCCCATGAGACCAGCCACGATGATACGCAGCTGCCCCTACAAAGGGGACAAAGAGGTACCGATGCCGCTGCTCCCCAGAACTCTCCGGGGTGCGTCCTTACCCGAACTCCGAGGCGAATCCGGCCGTGGCGACGAGGGCCCCCCACGAGGCCCAAGGAGACGAAAACGAGGCAAGGGTAGCGACATCGGTACAGTCAACCCGTATCACAAACATGCGCGGTAAGGATGCAAGGGCCTTGGAGGGCAACGCTGGCGCTTTTCGAACGAGGCTGGCTAGCGAGCGTCGCCGAGGATGGGCCGAGGGGGCCAGGATGAAAGGGTACCCTTGGGAAGGTTGCCCATCCTGACCATGCGGGTTGCAGAGGCCTCTTAGATGCGGTCGGAGTAGACGGGGTCGGAGGATCGCGACGCATCGTCGATGCATCGGCGACGTGGGTGTGGAGAAAATTCGCCTCCGCATCAAGCCGCATCGGCGATG